TATTTATGTCGTTGTATTGCTCTCTTCTTCATGTATAAACAAGATCTACTTGTATTCAAATTATGACAATTTCTTTTTGAAAACAAGCATACTACTGTCTTTACCAAACAATAGTTACACTATTCGAAAAACAATCTAACCACGTTAACTTTGTTTGACCTATCCAATCACTCACCGAAAGAAAAACCATTAAACAATGATAAAGAGATACCTTTGATAAATATGTTTGTTAATTCAAAACTCTTAAATTTTATTGATGATACAATCGTTTTTTAGTATGGTGAATCCTTAGAAAAACAAACAAAGGCCATTTATTGCTGTGCCTGGAGGTGAGGACGAAATAAATAAACACTCGCTCGCAAATTTGATGATAATTTGAACACGTTCAACCATATGAAATTGTTGTTTGAAATAAATGAATAAACCATAAAAGGACAATGTATTAAATTGCCACTTTATTTAAATAACTTACGATTTGTGTTCTTTAAATCGTTCTTTTTGTAAACTCCATCCATCTTAAGATCTCGGAAAAGAAGTGCCTGATAGTTCACATTACGACGATTTAAAAGCAAATTTTAAAACATAAGTTGGGAACTATTGAATTAGAGATAAAATATAAAACTGCATGCACTCAATGGTATGCTATAGTTCACTTAATGTAGATTTCATCGGATTGACAGCTATATTATATATATACATGTTGATGATTCAAAATTGGCAACAATCCTAATAAAAGTGACCAGTAATGACTGAAATTACCTTTATGGCAACACAAGAAAAAATACACAAATGTTCAAAACAAACCTGGAACAAAAACACGTCTGCATTCTATTGGAAAACTCAAATAATTATTTGTATCTAAATGACAAATAAATTTAGCGTAAGAAGAGATGTTTAATTAATTGTCATTATCTTTTGTTACAGAGGACAAAGGAAAAGTGACAAAATATTTAAAATGGTCTCAATATTGCAAAATTGTTTCGATACAGTATTCATTTGGAACGCCCATTACTTTCATCCTTATATGAGCGATGTTTTTTCACTGTCTGGTTACTTCATAAGAGAAAATAATGTTCACAAAATCTCATTAACTTTTGAAAGTCAACAAAATAAAAGTTTAAATTTGCAAATAAAATTCATGTAAATAAAAATATGTTTGTCTGATCTTTGATTAACTTTTAGTTACACTAGTTACAAGGTCGTTCAACCTACCTAACAGTTAAATCACATGACAACCTAACACAAACGTTAAATCACATGACTATGGATCTTAATCTTTGGTGGCATAGAAATAGTATGACACTCATATTTGTGTGAACAGAAGAAGGGTTATAAGAACAATACTAATTTTGAATATGGAGCAAGCAAGCCTGTCACATGCAACACTCCTGCCTTCCTCTGATGAGTTTGCTCAGCAGAACAAATGTTATGAGCAAAAGGATGTGAGCCACAACAGAAGCGATGACTGTTTACCTTAGGGAACACCTGAGTTCACATACGTTTTTTTTGTGTTGGTCAACCTATTAAATAGTAAGTTTTTCTGTGTAGTGAAATTTGGAATACTGCTTGTTTTTACGTTTTTTTTTTATTATTTGGCCATAATATTGCCGGACCTTCGAACTACGATGCTTGATTATCTCATGGTATATATAATGTCACGGCTGGTAGATATTTTGTCCACGAAACATTCACCGAGTCACACACACACACGAATTCGTATATAGAAGTATCAAGATCCGCAATAATAATTCAGGTTTTTGAATGACTCCCAGTAAAAAGTGTCCCGTTTTATGACGTCTCCGCTGAATCAGAGAGAGTTATCTGAATTTGTTTCAATGATGTCTATCTATTTCTTGTAAAAACTCTGAAATTTCTAATTCGTATGCGAACGTGTCTCCTCTACATAATATGACGATTTTAAGATTTTAATGATTGAATTATATCTAAATTTAATACTTCAATTCATGTAAATCTAATTAACAGGTGCTTCATTTACCATTGATTTAACAAGTGACGAATATCTAAATTGTAAATAGGATGATATCGTTTATGAATTGTAATCTTTGCGTATGAGTAAAACTAAAAGTAGTGCTAACAAACGAATGTGAGGTCATAAAATATATATCAACGATATTGCTAAATTACAATGTTCATTTACATTTTAATCTACTGGATCATTCAATTTTTTCTATATATTCGAGTTAGTATAAACACATTACCATCAATCCTCGCGTAGCATCACCTCTCTATAGATAAAAGGGAGATACAATACTTAGAGCATCATGTGGTTGTAATGACAAAATTGAGGATGCAGTCTATCGTGAAATTTGGGGAATGTGATAAATATTTTCATCTATGCTCTTGTACATAGACGCAGTCATGTTTCTTATCTCTTTTATGTTTCAATAAAAGAGAAGCGAAAGATACCAACGGAATATTCAACTAATAAGTGGAAAACAAACCGACAATGCCATGGTAACAAACGAAAAACGATCAAAAGACATACAGCAGTATACAAAACACAACGTCCAAAACATAAGTTTGGGCAGCATAAACCCAACAAAGAAACCTGGGTAATCTCAGGTGCTCCAGAAGGGTAACCCGCCGTGCTGCTCATGTAAGTACAAACCAGGTGATAATTCTTAATTCGGTAGGTCACATTTGACAAAAATTGGAACATATCAGTTGTCATCTGTGAAATAGATATTCTGTCACCTTACCGCCGTGCTGTTCATGTAAGTAAAAACCAGGTGATAAGTATAATTCGGTAGGTCACATTCGGCAATTGGAAATATCAGTTGTCACCTGTGAAATAGATATTCTGTCACCTTACTGGTGATGGCGTCCGTAATATTTTGGAAGGGATGAATAGCTTTCTTGTAATCAGCAACCCTCCATCAAAGAAGTCCTGATGGGAAATGCAAGCTCTGGAATATCGTATCAACTGGGAGATATATACTCCATATGCAGGCGCTGCTGGAATTTTGATAAATGGCCTGTTACCATTATACAGAATCTTCAGATATTCGCAAGAAGCTGGATTGACTATCCTTTTCATAACTGAATTCTTTGAATAATCTTCTGTTACAAATACCAATTCTAATCTTAACAATTTTACGGCTAAACATAATTGATTTTACAAGCACAGACTATCTTAACCAAACAGAATTTTGAAATGACAGGGAAATATTTCTGCCTTAACCTTCCCTTTGCCGGCATAGATCTTGCAGCCGTAAATTTTTCTGACTCTTCACTATAAATCAGTCAAATATAAAGTTTCAAAGTAAGTCAGACAATTTGGATACCATGAAAGATAAGATGAAACTTACCTTTTTAGAATGGATAAGGCTGTGAGGTCTATAATCCAATTTTGATAAAAACTAGAAAAAATAACGGAAAACAAAACCAAAACAATATCAACACTAAAACAAATGCTACAACTAAAAAACTAGAAAAAATAACGGAAAACAAAACCAAAACAATATCAATACTAAACAAATACAACAACTAACGGGTTGATGAATACTCATGCATCATCTATTCTTTTTTAAAGCGTAAAGTTGCAAAAAACTAGTGATACTATGATGACAAATATTTTGTCGTCGGGTGCCACATGTGGAGCAGAATCTGCTTACCATTCCGGAGCACCTGAGATCACCCCCAGTGGGGTTCGTGTTGCTCAGTCTTTAGTTTTCTAAGTTGTGTTTTGTGTACTATTGTTTGTCTGTTTGTCTTTTTCTTTTTGAGCCATGGCGTTGTCAGTTTATTTTCGTCTTATGAGTTTGAATGTCCCTTTGGTATCTTTCGCCTCTTTCTTATCCCTGTAGATAAGGCTGTAAAACTAAAATCATTTTACGTGTAAATCTCATTATACAAAATGATAGATAAAAGAATATCGTATCGCAAATTATCTTTGTGAACATAACATGAATCATGCCCGAAATAGAAATCCTGGGCTCATGGTAGGTTTGTTATAAGACGTTCGACTTTCCTTTAGAAACCAACTCCTTTTATAGTCTTCTCTTTGACATATTTCTTTATTGATATATTCATACAGAGGCTCATCAAGTAGCGTGAAAAGATTTTCTACCATTTTATACTTACATGATTTACTCTCATTGAACAATTCAACATTTAAGTGACTATGTTGATCACATTTATTTGATTAAACTTAAAATAAAGCATGCCACAGTAAAACCCTTGTTATAGATTTCTAGGTTTTTTCGTTTTATTGTATGATGGGCACTAACTGTGTCCATTTGATCACATATTTGTTCCTTTTGTTATGAATCCCAGTTATGGCTAAACCTCGTTAAATAAAGGCAACAGTAGTAAAAACCAACGAATCACCATTTGATAAATATGTTCATCAGTACCTGAAATTTATACGAATATGATTTTCTTTTAACAATTAAGTTTTTAAGTCCCGCCAACGATAGTAGGGGCACCATATTTATCGGACTGTGCGTCCGTTCGTTAGTCTGACCGGCCAGTATAATTTAAAAGAATTGATAAAAGGTAGTTTTCCATGACGTTGTGGTGACATCATCTTGAAAATTATTACATACATCATTTATGATGTGAATTTTAAAATATATGCAAAATTAGGGTTTTGACACTGATTTTATAGTTCCTGAAACATGAAAATCTACTTTATTAAGAGTATACGGTGTATAATCATTCATAACTCTTTTCTTTGTAACAAAATGAGAAAAGAATAGTTAAACTGTACTACTTTTGGAACATGTAAGATCCCGATGGCTTCGTAAACTATGTTTTGTAGGCTAATGGGGTTTACATCATACAGTAAACCACGATATGATTAAACAATTGAAGCAAAACATGAATATAAATAAACCTCGACGAATCTCAAGATCACTCTGGTATACTCATGACGGAGAGTTTGGAGAGCCAAAGACAAAAATTGAATAGCAAATAAACAGAACAATTAAACTGGCTACCAACTACTTATATGTGGGACGAAAGAAAAACAGTGACAGTAAAATTTCCTTAATTTATAAACAATAATTTTTATCAAAATCATAAAGTGATGCAAATAAATATAATGCATTAACAATAAACCGAAGAATATTCAATATTATTTAAACAGTTCGAAAAATCAGATCGCGTTTTGACTAGGAACTAACAGTCGTCATATTCATAGTAGCGTTGTGTCCATTTATAAATTCAGGAGGAACAACGTTAAGGTTAAAATATGCCATTCCCCATGTATTTACTGCTACATTCAATACCAAGATACATAGTATGTTCACCATGAATCCAGCTGATGCCTACAAACACAAACAGTATCATAATATTGTATATTTAAAGCAAGAATCATAGCCTTATTGGGGGAAAATTAAAAAAAAAAACAGCCATATATAGTCTTATTAAGGGAACAATCTTTTAACTTTAAAGGGGCGAAGGGTTCTGGCACCCCCTTTCCCGCAATTACTCATCCTGCATGACCACTATATATCTGTTGTACCACCTATGTGCTGAAGGTTCAGTATCCTCGCAATCTTAGGTTTCTTATCCCCTCAGTCTTATGTTCCTGTAAATGCCCACCTTGCTGTTAGTTATTTCAGGGGCTCTTTTTGCCAGTTATTCGTAGAGTAGATAAGAAATTTTAGTCATTGCTATTTATTTCAGAATGTCCATATCAGCAGATGTGATTGTTGCTGTATGCTCATTTTCAACCATCACTGCTGTACCTGACTGATTTACATCGTTTGACCCAGAAACGAACCGGTCCAGAGTTATTTTTTAAACAATAGGTTAAGATCAAAACTTTAACATTTGAAATAAAGGATAATACAAGTTTTTTAATATGAAAATAAAGAGATACATGAAAACCTTGATGTGAATATTTATTTCTGTTATATAAAACTTTACATAGTAAATGTTTAAATAGAAATACAACTAATCAACTGAAGCTAAGTGAGAAAAGATTTGATTTTAACACGAAAAAGGGTTGTTTAAACTAGTCTATATTTACTCGATATAGAAGAAGCATATTACTGTGAGCTAAGGAGGAGATAGTTTCACATATGGCATACCTGGAACCTGAGAATATTAATGTTGTTTAAATGTTGTATGCATCATAGTGATTACTTTGTTAACATTCGGTTTATTTTGCTTTACAATGTATATCGTTTGATTATTATGGTAAATTTATATTGTCATTATATCAGTGTTCATCACGATGTAAACAAAAACTCATCAAAGAGACCAGGCTTATAATTTTGTACGTCAGAAGCGCGTTTCGTCTACAAAAGACTCATCAGTGACACTCGAATAATAAAATTTAAAAGGCCAAATCAAGTACGAAGTTGAAGCGTACTGAGTACCCGAATTTCCGGAAGGTTTTGCCAAGTACAAAAAGGTAATATATTCCTGGGGGTAGAAAATCAATAGTTTTTCGAACTATTCAAAGTTTTCTAAAATATACCGAAACTAATCATGTAATACCACGATTCCCTACACCATTCTATTCACGTTATTTTCATCGTGTTTTACCTGTTATAATATAATTAACCACATACAAACAAACAATAAATATTGCAACCGACTTAAAGATCGATCTTTGCACATACTGTGTCATATGTATTTTTCGCTGATTACGGAATACGTATGGCATTGTTGTTTTGAGTTTTGTTGGACAGACTTCCATTTTAGTAGTGATTCATGTACCACAGAGCAGTTGGATTTTGTATATTGATTCAACGTTACATATTCTAACCATAATCCCATGACACCGTTTGTCATGTTTCTTTTTTCAATGTTGTTCTTCAAATGATAAAAAGAGTTCCTTTAATTAATATCAAGAATTTTGTGTATTTTAGGTTTATACCTTTTATTAGTATGCAAGTCCATTCATATCACTTCCAACTCTTTAGGAGTAACACATAGAGTGTTTTTTAAACAATTCTTTTGTCATTTATGTCGGTCTTTAAGACTTTTTTCACAGTAAAATAGTATTGTTGCAGTTATAAAAACTTACCATATCTTTGACGGTAATATACCCAGTCGCAAATACTATAGCATTTGGTGGTGTTGCAACAGGAAGCATGAATGCAAAAGACGTAGCAATGGCACATGGAAACATTAAATACAATGGATTCAGTTGTAAACGGACTGCCTGTAGCGGGAAAGAGAGAAAATAATAATCAAGACATATTTTGATTTGTCTTTTGTTTTTAATGCATCGTTTTGGCAGAATACTGCGTTGTGTACATTTACAATAAAGATAACAAAATTATTCTATTTAATTGCCTTCAATTTATTCAAATATTTCCTAGACATCTACCTCCGGCTCAGAAATGATTTAGAGGAACATCTTAAAGAATACTGAAATATTGAAATGCCAAAATGTATACCAATTGAGAAGAAATCGAAAAACTCTGAAAGAAGGAATGAGTTAAATGTTTTAAAAAGATTCTTATTGTTATCATATGCATGTTTTTCATGTACAGATTGTATATCGAACACTTTTTTTCAAATCGAACTATATTTCCCTTTTTTCCCTGAATAAGATAAACTTAATTCAATAAACTTTACATTAAGGTTACTTTCGAAACAAGAAGGTCTGTACATATCTTTCTTTAAAGTTACACAAATGGACGACACCAAACTAGCGTTTTTGGCATTATGACGATTTCAATGTTCCAATTGACAACTTCCATTTGACAATTGTAACATACCCTCTGTCCCATTGTGTGACGTTTTTATATAGCAAATAAGTTATGCACGTCTATGTTTATATTATATTGAATTCATTTACAGGATGTGCTTCTCCAGTAGGGTTATAAGAACGAACGACAAAAATCGATTCTACACACGTTTTACGGCCACCGCCACGAATTGGTTGAACAGTACGAAATGCGTTTATCTCAATTTACGAGATACATATTATCCTTGTATTAGATCTAAAAATACAAGAAAAGTCTTCCGATATCCAAATTAAACAAGTTTGTCCTATTCCCTATAAGAGATTTCCAATAAAATGACATAACTCGACATAACCAACCTGTCTGAACGTATATCGGCATAATTCATTGAAGCATGACGGAGGGGAGCATAGACTCTAAGTAATGCTTGCTTGTTAAATACACATATTTTGTTGGAATAGATTTTATTTTAGAATTATTTTGATCTGATATTTTAAATCTTTACATATTTTGTTGTTAAAATGTGGATTATTTTATTGACAATAGCATTTTAATGTAAAAATTAATCCAGTTGCTCGTAATCAAATGCACCGATCATTACTTGGTCATTTCACTTGACCAACATATAAGTTCCTTTCAAGGCGTGAATGTTTTAAAACTTCTTAATCGAATTTAAGTCTGAAATAATAAAAATAATGAAATCTGAAGCGATATACTATTCTCATTTCATTTGTTTTTATAAGTTATAATTTTAAACACGAAATTTTAAACACACCCGACTGTTAAAGGTGTACCCGACTTATTTCTTTAGCGTACTCTAATAATTCATGATCATATCAAGAAAATGTTGTCTTAGGCAGAAATTCAGATCATTTATGTATTTATCAGATAGCATCTTTCCGTAGAATTTATAAAATTAAAAAATTTATTTTGGCACATCTCTCTTCAATTAATTTTCTTCTGATAATATAATTTAAAGAAGGAAAAACGCTTAAATCTATAAACAATAAGCCGTGTAGTGGTGATTTGCCACGGACCGATTTTGAAGTACATCAAACGGAACTAAACAGAATAAAAGGAGATGTGGGGTGTAAGTCAATGAGAAAGCAACCCAACGGAAATTAACAGTAACCAAAGGACATATAAAGGAGTCTACCTAGTCTATGTTGAATACTCTATGTTTGAGATGTCAACACAAAATATCAAACTCTTAATCGTCCTGATTCTGTATAATTCTACAAATTGTAAATATATTTAACAAAAATAATTAAAAAAAACTTAAAATCGAATTCCCTAAATAACATGAACTTAAAGGAATAGCTGGCAAATCAGAAAAGTTGATACTCTAAAAATAACCACGTTTTACTGCGTAAAGACGTATTTTCTCTTATCTTTACTCCGGAGAATTTTCCCAGAAGCCATGGACTCAAAATGCCCTTCGCATATCAATTTGTGTTTGTTTGAAGACAAAGAATCGCCGAAATGTTCCTTTGAATTGACTCTTGACGTCTTCTGGGTCAGGTAGACTCACCTAAGCTGTGCAGTATAACTAATATATACGGACTTGATTGTTCAATAACTTAAACACTTTCTTGTTTCATATGTTTCAAACTGGGAATAGTCCCAGGTTTTAAATATACATGTTTGTGTATTTTCAATGTTCATTACCTACCCACATAAATCATCAGGTATTATTTGCTTGCAAGTTACGTATACTTTATATTCAAACCACATATGTAATGAACACTTATGGTCCTACTTGTGCATTCTGTCCATATTTTGACGTTGCACAAAATTCTGATCTTCTGCACTAATGATACTTATAAACTCTTTATTTAAAGAGGGTAACTCAATAAGAACTTGTCTAATTTGCAGTACAAAAACAAACAACAACGATAAAGCAAACATTCAATTTCGCTCGCCATCGTGACTGCATTGTACATTAAAATTTTAGTATCTTTTTGTTTTTGTATGTCTCTTACTTATGACAAAAGCACTTCAAGGATATATGTTGTCTAAGCCAATTCAATGATGCCTATCAATTGTATATCACAAAAAAGGATAACATAACTTGTGCATATAAAAGATATTGCCTAGAAAAGTCGTTTGTATTTTGACTCATATAGCATTTTCAACTGTCATTCCTATTAAACAAAACCACTCGCTACAATCCCTAATCGAGCACACCTTCTAAAATACAATCTATATAGAGAATTTCTTCTATTAATTTAATTAAATGCTTGGAAGGGACATCTAATAAGATTTATAAAAGTTTCTTCTTCATTGTGAATTATTTGTTTATGCATTGTTATTTAGTTTTAGTTATTTTTAAAAAAGAGAGGGTCGTCTAATTTGACGGCGAGCTATGACACTATAAAACTTGAAGAAGTACAAGGTCTACATCTTTAAATACGGGTTTTGTGAATGGTTTAGCTGAACACATTCTTTCTTCTATAAGAACCTTTTCTGACGTTTCTATAAATGCACGCATTCATGGAACTATCATCTGCAAAGTATAGTGAAAAAATGTCACAAAAAAGACAATGAATTATAACTCAAATCAATCCTATGATAGATAAGGGATACGTGTATATAAGTGATCTTATGACAATGAAAATTTGGGCAGGAATCATGAGAATCACGACAAAAAATACACGATTTATCTCATTTTGTATTTATTAAATATTATATGATATTAACGAAGTTTGAAGTTTATGGTTTTATAGTGTTGGAATACTTTGTTTAAACTTGAGTGACGTATTTAACAAAATTCTTAGGTTGACAATAACCGGTCCCATTAGGTCCGTACGTCGAGTAATGTACGTATGTAATTTTATTGGAAATATCTATTGGGACATTTTGACTATGTTTGGCTAAGTACGATGGGTAGTGCATGCATATCAGGAGACGCACGCGGTTTTGGTCCGTTTGGAGTTTCTGTTTTTTTTTAATATCTTGACTTGAATATAAAAAATTAATTTGCAAATTTTTAACATCGGTATATTTCTGTTGCCTCTAACTTAACTTATTGATCTATAACGATAACCTGATCATCGGAATAATTGAAAGGTTTAAGTTGTAACAAAAGAATGTACATAAAATTCAAAGATTTCATATCTGAATAGCTCCAAATGCAAAACGAAATAGACCAAAACTTACCAGATCTCCAAGAATAGGTAATAAAAGCGTTATAGTAGCTGTATTACTAGTAACTTCTGTACATACAGCTACTAATGCTGTAAAGAGAAGGACCATAACCCACGTGTCTAATTCCTTAAAGGCTTCTAAATGTGACCCGATCCATGAAGATAAACCAGATTTCTGAGAAAATATAAAATTGAAAGATTAATAATATATATATTTTTTAAATTAGAAATCTAACCACTATCATAAATCAATGTTGATCAATACTAATACTGAAAAAGTCATATTTAAGATTTTTTATATGTGTATTACTTTTGTATTTCCTACCTACCTCACAGGCATCTGCCAGAGCGAATCCTCCTCCTATCAATAACAGAACACCCCATGGAAACTTCTTCTCAACAGTAGGCCAGTCCAATATAGGCGGCACCGGTATATGTGGTCTGTCATCTTTTGGAAATCCTTAATCATTTCAGGAACAAAAACGATATCATTAATGGTAAACAATATTACATTTGATATAACTCTTTTTCAAAGTGTTCAGAATAAATGCAAAGATGGTATAGTATGAAACATTGTATTGTAAAATAAGCAAAAAATGAATACACATAGTGTATCCGTATCATGATAGCTGAAATGTGTGCACTGATTATAACACCTTCTATGAACAATGTTCTTTTCTCCTAGTAAATTTCTTTATTGACTGAATAATTCATATGCTCTTCTATAGTGTTATCAGAGACTTAATATACTCAAAGCAGCGCGGAGCAAAAGAGTTAAAAATAATACTTTCCAATCGATAAAAAGTAAAATCACAAAAATACTGAACTCCGAGGAAAATTCAAAACGGAAAGTCCCTAATCAAATGGCAAAATCAACTGATAAAACACATCAAAAGAATGGACAACAACTGTCATATTACTGACTTGGTACAGGCATTTTCAAATGTAGAAAATGGCGGATTGAACCTGGTTTTATAGCGCTAAACCTCTCACTTGTATGACAGTCGCATCAAATTCCATTATATTTACAACGATGCGTGAACAAAAAAGACATGATAAGAAACATTGTCAAAATATGGTAAAAAGAAGTTCGTCAAATTCTCTTTATTTATAGGAAAACGTTTAACCTCATTTTTGCTTTTTGTCTGTGTTTGGTGAGTTACTCATGATAAAAAAATGGATAATACAAAGTGTTGAATGGCTCAACATTCCATTTTCTGTACCAAGTTAGGAATATGACAGTTGTTTTCCATTTGTTTGATGTGTTTGAGCTTTTGATTTTGCCACTTGATAAGGGACTTTCCGTTTTGGATATTCCTTGGAGTTTTCTGGTATTTTTGTTACTTTACTTTTTCAATCATTTAAAGAGTACGTATGAGTTCTTCTCCATTACCTAGTGTTGCATCGTATATTGAGTTACAGTTGAAATATCGGACCCCTTTGCAGAATATATAAGAAGATCCACTGTGTTTTGGAAAGGGTAAACACTTTTCACTCCTTGACTTATTTATAATATCGGTACGTTAAACGATAAAATTGTCCTGATGAATTGATTGATTTATGGTACTACAAACATAGATCCTTGTTCGGTAGCTCTGCAAATCGCATCAACAGAAGTCAAGTGTGTTGATATAAAATGTCTAGTAAACTGCTTCCTTATTGTCCGACTCATGATATCAAACATTACAAACCGATGTATTGTATTTCCTATCATTCATTTATAGATCTAAATAAATGGAGATGTGATGTAAATATCAATTAGACTATCACGCTATTGTTCAAGCTAACCAACTATATACACCTAGTGGTTAGTCCGAGATCTCCAACATTTGAATAGCGTTCATTCTTTAAGTAAGCTTAAGTCTTATTTCGTCATCTCTACCTGGGCGACGTGAAGACTACACGGTTTAAGGAAAAAATATATTTTTGAACCTGACTGAAAAGAAATGTTCATCGCTGAAACTACCGTATGGTATATATTTTGATAAATGATCTATACGTCACATATATTGCATTTTGAAGAATGACAAGTTAAGAAACATTGACAAAACCTGTTTATTCATCGAACTCTTATTTAAATTACCTTTCGTTTTTCTAAAACACAAAACAGCAGGGCGAACTGATGGGAATACAAACATTGATGTCACAATTAGTATGGCGGACGCAGAATCTGTTAAATATCTACAAACACATGTTAAACATGAATGTATCATTACAGCATTTGTATCTATGACAAACGTACTTTGAATTAATGAAATAAAGATGAGAATAAAGAAGTAAGAGATAAATATAGATCTAATTTACATCCGTTTAATCTTAGAGAAAAGGGAGGTAAACCATCGTATTTAATCATTCATACATACAGATTTGAATGTAACGATAATAAACTATGTTGATAGTGTCCCTCTGTTCTGTTTACCTACTTGAAGTGTTATATAAAAAAGCATCATTTAATGTGTGATTAAAAGAAGTAATACAAATTCAAAACTGTCTATGTTCATATAATTTATGACACTGTGTCTGTTTAATTATAAAATATGCGAGTATTACCAGGAAGACGTATGCCGCTTCAAATTCAAACTGCTAGAGCACAACTTTATGTCCTGTACAGGAATATGTGCAATTTTGGTCGAATTCCGTTCAACCGTTTTCAAGGAGATGCAGATTAACCAGGTGTGACGTAGACTTTGCGGACGACGACGACACAAGACGACACAAGTGATCATATTTGTCGCTACATCTTTGCCTCCAATTTTAAATGGTTGTGTGTTTTAGGTCGATTGGATGGACACGAAAAATAAATCATATTTTACTCTGTATACTGTTCAAATATTGTGTCTTTATCTGTTTGTATTGTTTAAGATTTCACATCCCTTTACTTTAGTTAACAACTGGTTGAATAAATATCACTACATGCATTTGGAAAGTCGACAGACATGTTTTAATTCTGTTTAGTGTAGTGAGCTGTATATTGTTTAAAGTATTTAAATAAAGATTACCCCGTCTTGAACCATGACCCCCAGCCATCAACATACGGAGGCTTTCTGCTAAACCATAATAAAATCAGTAAAACGAAATGGACTAATACAACTATTTCTGCAAAGCTGAAACATAATGTATAATTGTTCAATTATATAATTTATCTCACTGCAAACTGGCTCGTTTTAAGTCAGACATTACCTTTTAATTACCAAAGGTGAAGCATTGTTTTCAAAATCAAGCTAGTGATTATCTACAACTTTTGTATCTTGAATATTCAACATTAAAATTTTTATTTATATACACTAAATACTTTTAGTTTAAATATTATGTATAGTTATACTCACGACATAGGTCCTAACTTTTCGAAGGCATCTCTAATTATTTTAGTAGCTCTTTGATCTTCTTTTTTGGTTGAGCAAAATAACTCCCTGAAAGAATAATGTACAAAAGTTCATGAAACTGAATGATATTCGTTCTCTTGATGATGGTTCTAAGTCGACTGTATTAAAATGTTTTTATTAAAAAAAAATCACGCATGATATAAAAAAATCTGTGGTATAATATTATTTGACAGAAATGATATCTTTGCTACTTTTAGTGAAAATCATTAATGAAAATAGAAAGAGAGGTAAGACTGCTGAGAAATGTTTTAAATGTTTTTGTTCATATGCTAAATACTCATCTATTTTACTATGCTATCGTGCTACTTCCTTGACCTTTAATTGATTGTATCAAGGGTCAATTATTTAATATTCAAACTTCTAACTTACTTATGCCATACTACCAGATTGTATGCAGCTTCTAGTCTTATAGATGTTCACATTTCTTATAATAACGAGAAGTTCATCAAATATATCAATTCAAAGTGTATTCAATAACATTTAGTGATAATTCTTATTCCTTTTTAATCAAAGACTTAATAGGTAATGTTACTAATATATGTTTTTTTAACAGGAGGTTTTGGAAAATGTGTGTTTACAAAGCTACAATCATGTAGATGAGGAGTAAAATGTCAATATAATTTCTTATGAAACGACTTTCTGCATCTACCATGCTGAACTTTGAAGCCAACAGTGAGGTAAGCCCTATACAATGAAAACACTGGGGAACCTATGCTTGCACTCAAACAAAAACCAGCATGTACAATCTAAAATACACTAAGAATTGAAAAATAAACAATTCATATCTTTGTGATACAAGTGATATGAAATATTTTTTAAAACATGTATGGGTATGCTCATTGTTGAAGGCCGTACGGTGACCTACATTTGTTGATTTCTGTGTTATTTGGTCTCTTGTGGAGAGTTGTCTCGTTGGCAATTATACCACATCTTCTTATTTTTATATTTAGATCTATTTAAATTCTCTAATCATATTTTGAATTCTTTAGTGCGTTATAATAATATTGTTCTTACCTTATTCAGTGCATTACGATAATATTGTTCTTACCTTATTCCTAGAAACCATATCTGTAACCATATCCATAACAATGCTAAACATATAATAGATCCAGGAAGGGCAAATATCATCCAACTAACAAAGTTAATCCCTGAAGATTCTATGCCAACTCGCTGGAATACTCTAGAAAAAAGTAAACCAATTAAGATATTTCTATCACAATGTATACGTCTATGTGTGAAAGAACAAGTCACAACTAAAAATTACGCTCTCCTTTTTGCACGTTTAAGAAAACTTTATTTTTCTGGTCAAAGCATTTTGTTAAATTTTTATCTTACCTAAATGTTGGTTATATGAATTGCATGGTCGCATCGAAACATAATGAGATTCCATGATGGGACACTCGATGTCAATACCGGTTTTTAATGTTCGTTGGGATTGTTCGCTGTTCTTATAACTTTTCTGTTTGCCTGTACATGCGTTTCGTTGACCTTGTGTCTCGTTCGAGGATTGTATTTTGATTTTGGATTCATTCTATTGACACCATTAAGTATGTACTTGTTTAAGAACTATAAAAATATCGATGGATACAGTGTAAACTGCAAACTGTCAATATACATAGTTCAACTCACAGATCTGCTTGTCCTTGCATAATTATGTTTGGTCCTGTTCCAGACAAGGTTCCGGTTCCACCAATATTAGCAGAATAGGCAACACATAATGTCATTGCCTTACACATATTTTTATACTCATTAGATTCTGAATAATTGTGATGTACTTGCTCTTTATTTCTACAACGCAGATTTATTTTCAAATTTACAACAAAATATTAAAAAAAACATAAGAAATCAAAAGATTTATAATTTGTAAAGTTAAATTAAGGCGACAATAGTAAACCGATGTTCAAATCTCGTAAATCAATAATGAAGAGACACATCAAGGTAACAAACAAAAACTGAGGGAATAGCATGAACTGCAAAAGGCGCGAGACCTAACTAGTACTGCGTCAACAGAGCACGTGTCTCCTGCTATGCATGCATCACCCGCCATGCGACTCAAACTCAATAAAAATGTGACAATCGGGGAATAGGACACAATCGTTAAATTAACAGATCAGACGACTATACTGTATCTAAAGATCCAAGACCGCGAAAACATGTCGCTAGTTTAGTTAGCACACTCATTTTAATGAAGTCCATATAATGTGATCGTGTACGAGCGTAACGTATGTAACCGCCTTACGACAGATCAGATGGTATGAACAAGTTCAAGACATGATAAATTGTAAAAAAACAATGCATCTAGGTGTATCGTTATCTAGCAAAGAATCCAGCCACGTTTATAAGCATTGCAAGGAGATGTGAGCTTTTGCTGCTCACTATCACTTGGAGATGAAGAGCAGACTTTTTGTGTCATGAATTAATACGCAATATTCCTTTTCCCATTTCATTGACAGAGTGTGTCTCTTGTCATTTGCGTGGATCATTAAAAAAATTCCCATTGCTTGAGGTATGCGCTCATACTTTTTTCATAAGTTGCATCATCTTTCATAAACATTTAAACATTTGTTATTTGGATTTATAAAATACCGGCCTCGTAAAACATTAGTAGTATAATAAATAGAACTGGTAAGTATTTTTAGTCAGCTCTATTTTGAAATATACATAACTCGATTATATCAATTGATTTCATAGTATCTTTCAAGAAAGATTGACTTATATTTTAGAGAAAGAACAAGAGAGAAAAAAATAAAGAAAAAGAAACACAAAAATTTGTTTTTTTAGCAACAGTGAATATTCACAACGAAAATATGTCTTAAATACAGCAGTCAATATACTTGGCATGGATGGTTTTCTTTTGTAAAATTTATACAAGCAACATCAATTATGCAATCATACATGTGGTTATAAGCACAAACAAAACAGAAGCTAGGGTCACAGACAATATTGGCCACGCGAAGAGGATTACTTTTAAACAATATATACTTTTGTATTATTAGTTTTTCTGTGAGATACTTTTTGAGTCCTGTATAAATTACTCGTAACGTTTTGTTCTATAAATAAATAATTTTAATACGTTTTTTATTTTATATATATATTTGTACAGCTATTGCGTTTTTATTCCAGAAATAACGTCTCTTGTGTGTATTATTTCATTTGTTCTTTTTCGATTTGTTTGTTAATCGAAATTGATATAGTCAACCTGAATTTTCTTTTTTCCTTGTAAGTTATCATTTTGTGCCACTCGTATGTATAAATGTGTGTATTGTTTCTATTTTTAATGAGATTGTCGGGTAAAGTATGACACAATTTGTTAGAGCTCGCCAGTTATAGTCTGTATTTTGCTGATATTACCACATAATTGTTCTTTAACACACAGCTGCAGCGTTATTGACATATAGCAAAGACTTCCGTTCGAACTGTTGCTAGAGGCGTCTTGGTCTTAAATTGAGGTGTGAAAGTGTGCTTCGCGTGGAATGCCACGCTGTGACTTTGAGATGAATAACATCAGTTAAAGAACTGTTCATTTGCTTTGTGATTTGTAAAGTGCGTATATGGATTTTGTGTCATGAATTATTACACAATATCCCAATTTTTATATCAACTATATTATGACGTGAACCAGTTTCTTAGCTATCAGATCTTTTTAATTTCTACTTTCCGTAGATATTGACATGCTAATGAAATGTAGTTTTGATCGTATGATATATCGTTTCATATTGATCCAAGACTAAGCTAGGGGTGTTTTGGTACTTGAAAATGTAAAAATTCAAATGTCTGTAATAAGAATCGAATTCGATGGCTTCAAAATTTGATGCATATGTTTAATACCTGAATAAAATTTATACCTACTGTTTTTCTTTTACTTCAATTTGTACTTCATTCACGCCTACTTCTCCGTTTTCAGTGTATGTGATGTGATAGTCTTTAACGCCATTCTCATTTGGTTGCTCTTCCACATTACTTGATTTAACAAATCCAGAATTATCGATGCCCTTTTCTGCAATACGAAATCATCGATGAATTGTTGGTTATAACATATGAGGTATTGGAGATCATAATCAAACATAACGAATTTGCTGTGTTTAATGAACTTTTCTGGATTTACCTTCATCAGGAGTATATAGCGCCAAATGTAGATGTATGAATAGGGAGTGTTACACAACCAAATACAACGTTGATGAGATGTTTAAAGTCTTTGATTTTACGAAAACTTTTCAACAAATTGTTCCTGAAGAATGCAAGTTATTATAAATGCCAATGCTGAAGCACCCTCAACAGTGTTAGGGTAGATCATATCCTCGGAGATAAGCAGTCTACATACAATGGCATATACCAGATAGTTATGAGGTAAAGTCAATGAAACGTATTTCTGAGTAAACATTCATCAGGAATGCTCAGTTCCAATAGTTAGATAGACAAAAACGGTATAAATGCCCACGAATTTACGTTACCAAAAAAACCCCTAAAAGGTTCTTGATAATTAACACACAATTTACCTAAGCTGCTCAAGTTTTATAATGACATTGGAGTGTCTGTATCTATCTCTGTATCATAAATAATATATTTTACAGTATTCAAGCAGTTTATATATATATATATATAAATGCCTAAAAAGTGTACAAAACAACACCAATATTTGAAAAAAAGGAAACATTAAATGTAAGTATCTACAAATATTTCGAATAACAGATATCCATCATCAGTATGATATGATGTAAAATGAATCATATTAATTTATTCTGATTTAACTATAACAATCTTTAATTAGATATAACTATAGCAATCTTTAATTAAGATATCTGTTATCCGAAATATCTATAGATACTTACATTTAGTGTTTCCTTTTTTTAATATTGGTGTTGTTTTGTACACTTTTTAGGCGTTTATATAATATATTTATTGTGTACAGGTATCGTTACTTGTAACGATCCAGTGCCTTCGTAAGAAAGATAATTGACTAATATCTAGACGTTATATATATATAAGTCTGAAAAATAAACCCAAAAGGGTCAGATTAGATTTTTATGCTGACAAATTTTTGTCCCTCAACCGGATTTGAACTCACACCTTTGATATACTACAGCACCAATAGCTTAGATTCATGTCCATCGCTCTAGACCACTCGACCACATCTGCTATATAATAAAATATAACTTCAATAGTCGTAGTGTTACCTTGTCACGCAAGGCGAATCTAGAGATAGACATAAGACATGTGTTTTAAGCGTGTGTATATATATACAAACAAAATTGAAGACTAAATGTCATCTAGGTCAGAGTTTGATGGAATGAATAAAAGATATCCGATTTATAGATAGATATGTATACCAATGATGATGCTGTTGTCCCTGAGAATGTCATCAGATCAAATAACTTATAGAATAAATTTCTTAATTGGTCGTTGATAAGTTAAGATTAGGATAAAAATAACACAGTTGTAATATACATATATCCTCAGCATATATCTTAACATTGTAAGTATTCTTGTACACCTGAGAATATTATCTTAGAGTACAATAAGTTAAGAAATTATTAACCAATTAGGATAAAAGAAAATAACACAATTTTAAAGATACATATACCTGACCAATGTAAGTATTCGTGTACACATAAGAATATTATCTTAGAGTACAATGAATGTTTTATCTATCTACCAAGTTACAAATGCATGCCCTGATTTAATGACATTGATGCCCCCTTTTCCTGACTGTGTATACGGTAAGAATGTATGACTGCTGTCAAGTTATCAGGTTATGTTAAAATATACATATACATGCATTTAGCTTTAAGTTCAAGATGTTTTTGGTAGCTGATAAACAAGAAAAGCTCAAAGGCGAAAAAGATCAAGGATAAACCATTATGAAAATATTTTGTAGTTTTAAAAGGTATTTAAAGGTTTTGAATACATTCTAGTTTGCTTTTAACTTCAAGGATGATACAAAAATGAATTTCATACTTTTCAATGTTGATATTTGAACAGTTTAAATTTGTTCTTTTTCAACACAAACAAAAGCATCATTTTATGTCATTTTATTTTCATATTGCAAATATCTAGACATTCAAAATCTTTCAAAAATATTTTACCATAGACTTCATCAACTTCATTAACTTCTTTTAACTGTTCCATTACAGCACCTACAATTGGTATCATCATGGCCGTGGTAGCCGTATTACTGACCCACATAGACAAAAACCAAGTAGGTAACATAAAACCAAACATTAACCTGCCAGAAGAACAAACGGATTGATTTTATCAATCTTTTATATTATTAAAAAATAAATGAAAACAACACTTTATAAACTTCATGCGTCTTGAAAGTGATAGGCAAAAAAGATTGTATAGCCCAAAAAGATCAGGTCTTCATTTTATAAATAAGTTTTGGATTTTAAAATATTTTGGCCTTGAGCATCACCAAAGAGACATTAACAAACGAGTGGATTCTAAAGTTTTAATGTCGAATACCATTTTTATCATCCATATGTTCCAGATTTATTTAGAGTATACATAGTCTTTTTTTTTTGTTCATTGGTTGCTGTCTCATTGACGTCACCATTTATTGATAAAAAAGTTTAAAAAGATAGCATATTTTTTTAAATGTTAAGTTTTGTTTAAAAGACTCTAATTATAGAGAAATATTCATGATGTGATAAATGTGTTGTTCCTTTTATCAACTAAAGTTAAACTTATCGAGTTTTTGTTGTTGCTTCTTGTTTAAACTCACCATTTAGGTTTTGAACCAAACATGAGTAGAACTCTCAGAGCTATTCTCTTGTGAAGATTCCATTTTTCTACAGCAACAGCAAGAGTCAAGCCACCAATTCCAAATATTGAGGAATCCTTGAACAGATAAATAAAAAGTCTAACACACATTCTGAACTCCAAGGCAAATTCAAAAAGGGGAAGTCCATATAAAAAAAACTGACAAAATCAAACCGTTGTTCTCCATTAAATTATCAATGTAGTCGTTAATTCATACCAACATTAAAACTAACAGTAACTACTATTTTTAATTATTCATAATAGATTTTATAAAGTAATATATCAGTTAACATATTCAACATGCAACACAGTTACCTTTATATAGTTTGATGCTACATCCCCTGCTTTCATAACCCCAAAGAGAGGGAACACTATTACAGGTAACAAAGATGTCACAGCCAATGGGAGAGTTTCTGTTATCCAAAAAATTGCCATCACGGCAAGACCATATGCACATTTGGCCTCCTGAAATCGAAGAAAATAATTGTGCGCTTAAATTATTTTATCTGAACATATTTAGTGAATATGGAAAACTTGTTTTGTTTATTTTGAGCCATTATACATCCGTGATATTGATTGAGAGAGAGAGAGAGAAATGGTAAAACCAATCAAAATTGTTATTCTTGTAAATATTCAAGCTAATAAGTGTGTAATAATTCCTTAATTCTTTCACATATACATAAAATTGAGAATGGAAATGGGGAATGTGTCAAAGAGACAACAACCCGACCATAGAGCAGACAACAGCCGAAGGCCACCAATGGGTCTTCAATGCAGCGAGAAACTCCCGCACCCGGAGGCGTCTTTCAGCTGGCCCCTAAACAAATATGTATACTAGTTCAGTGATAATGGAAGTCATACTAAACTCCAAATTATACACAAGAAACTAAAATTAAAAATGATTCAAGACTAACAAAGGCCGGAGGCTCCTGACTTGGGACAGGCGCAAAAATGCTGCGGGGTTAAACATGTTTTTTGAGATCTCAACCATCCCCCTATACCTCTAGCCAATGTAGAAAAAACAAACGCACAACAGTACGCACAGTAAAACTCAATTTAAGAGACGTCAGAGTCCGATGTCAGAATAGGAAACAAAAGACAATAAACAAAAAGACAATAATACACAAATAACAACAGACTACTAGCAGTTACTGACATGCCAGCTCCAGACCTCAATTAAACTGATTAAAAGATTATGTCTTCATCATATGAATATCAGGCACAATCCCTCCTGTTAGGGGTTTAGTATTATACCGTCATAAAATATATGAGAACATAAACCGTGTCATGCCAACAACTGGTTTTAGAATAAATATGTTTAATTCCGATGCAAAGACCCTATAAGTGAATCAATATTAAAGCCAAAATATGCAATCTTTAATGACCTGACAACAGTATCGTAACTATATCCCTTCTTAATAAGTCTGTTTAAGGGTTTTGTTAGCTTTTGGGGTGAATACTGACATGTTTGTGCTTTGTAAAGAATATTACCATAAAAGATTGGATGTGAAATACCCGAACGTATAAGATGTCTGCATGTTGAGTTATATTTACGAATGATGTCCTTATACCGATGATAAAATTTAGTAAATGTTTTGACTAGTTTATGATATCGAAAAACCCTGGTGTAATAATTTTTCAGTAATACATAAATTTCTCTCGCTAAAATCTAATACGTTGTTACATACATGAGCGAATCGTACAAGTTGAGATATATAAACACCATAAGATGGTGACAAGGGAACGTCACCATCTAAAATGGATAATTAACGATACGAAATGAAAAATCATCTCTTTTATCATAAATTTTTGTATTAAGCTTCCCGTTCTTGATATAGATATCAAGATTGAGGAAAGGACAGTAGTCATTGTTAGTATTAGCTTTATTTAAAATAAGTTCAACAGGATAAATTTCTTTAGTATACATACTGAAGTTGTCATTATTGAGAGCCAATATATCATCCAAATATCTAAAAGTATTGTTAAATTTTTGTATCAGATATTGTTTCGATGGGTCTTTGCTGATTTTAGTCATAAATTGTAACTCATAACAATACAAAAACAGGTCCGCAATAAGTGGTGCACAGTTAGTCCCCATTGGAATTCCGATAACTTGACGATATACGGAATCTCCAAAGCGAACAAAAATGTTATCAAGTAAAAATTCAAGGGCAGATATGGTATCAAAGCATGTCCAATTGACATAGTTCTTTTGTTTGTTGCTACTAAAAAATGAGTTTGAACATATGTATTCGCATTCCGACTTTTTAAATGCCCATTTAATTAGGTGTGTGACATTTTTCTTAATAAGAATATGAGGCAAAGTGGTATATAGGGTAGAAAAATCAAAACTTTGAACAGATTCCAAATCACCAATATATGCATGCAATTTATCAAGTACTTCCAACGAGTTTTTGACACTCCAAAAGTAGTTAATTCCACTATTTTCATAGGCCTTATTTGAACAATTTATTATCAGGTTTTTGATTGTACCAAGTGTCCTAGTAAGTAGAATAGACAATTTAGTAGTGGAACAATGACTTGAAGACGAAATAAATCTATATTTGTAAGGTGATTTGTGTAGCTTCGGAAGCCAGTACATATTTGGGACTTTCATTGTAGTTGGTTCTGCTTGTAAAGAAGTAGTTAATAGTTTATGTTTGTTACAGATATCGTTTTCTGAAAATGAAGTCAGTTGGAATGTTGGTGAATTCGTGATTTCCTTTTGCAGAACCTCAATGTAAAATTTACGTTAAACTATAATGATATTATTAGCAGCTTTATCAGTCGGGACAAAAACAAATTCCTCGGCTAGTTCTTTTAGTTTATGTTTGATACGAGAAATAGGATTTTTATGGTTGTTGTTAAGAGTAAAATGGGAAATGGGGCCATAAGTGTATTCGGAATTACTACAATTACTTGACGTAGGTGTATTTTCACTGATATTTACATCTTTACAGACTTGGCTATAATTAAACACAAATTTTCGGGTAGATTTCTTGTAAATATAACAAATAAGAGGGAGTTCAGTATTATCAAAATATCCAGGAATTTGTTCTTTAACAGAATGGTCGTTAAAAATACCGGCAATATTTAGAAAATCAAAACCTTTATTGACATACTTTATTTTAATAAAATGTTTTTTATGATCTTCAGGGCGATCAATTTTGGGAAACAGTTTAGAATAACAATATGCCATTATAATTTGAACGATTTCATACTTAGGACTGCAATATGAAATTGTGTTGCAATCCTCTAAAATTTTATTAAATTTATTTATAGGTAAAGAACAGAGCTTGGTTAATAGATAATGTCTGCCGTTGTTTTTGTATATATTATCTAATGAATTTGTAATATAGCCACTTTATATTAGAGAGCTGTGGTATATCTGTATACTGTACTTAATTTTTATGATATAGGTTATTTCCGTTTTTAAAATATGGGGTTTCGTAAAGAATTTAAGGAAGTTCAATGATAATTTATGAAAATTCCTGGGCGTAAGTCACGTCTAAGGAACTAATCTGATCTTCTATTAAAAACATTATTATGTAAAAATAAAGAGAAGTGGTTTGACTGCCATAAAGACAGCTATCGAGTCCAACTGGCGTGTATGTAAGCAACTATAGGTAACCATTCGGTCTTTAACAATGATCGGATGAAAACCCATAAACCCGTAAAGTCAGTTTTAAATTGTACCGACCGACATCACAAATGTTGTATTATTTTTTACTTAGAAAATTAATGTGTTAAGATATAGCGACCTTTCACCATAGATATACAATACAAAAGCAGGCACCCAGAGGTCAATAAACGATATTCAACACAATCCGTATTACATGTACTAAATCACCTAAATCTAGATAAGTTGTAATTCAAATTAGCAGATAATATGTATGTTATGACGTCAACAGCAAGTTCTAAACTGAATTAAAAGTATTTGAACATATAAAGAGGTTAAACTAGTCCAATGTACTGAGAAAGTGCAAACATCTACCTTGTACATGAATAGGTAGAGACAAGCGATGCAGTTAAAACATACGAAATTACAACCATAATAAAATCAAGATAAGAAAAAACAACTTTATTTACAACTACCTCAGGCATATTGAGGTGTTACACGTGAAAAAAGATAATTTACACAATGCAAATTAGATGTGAAAACAGATTGAAATATATAAAAATGAAACTAAACTTAACTTCCTTGAATATTATTAATTTCTATATTGAATCGCGATTTAAATATTGGATTTGGTTTTCGAAGAAAAGGACAGCAGAAAAAGTTGTCTTATTGCATAGATATTATCGTCCTTGCATTTATGTTTTGAAGTAAAGGATTATCAAATTTTATATACTGTAAAACTATTATATATAGCTGCATACCAAAATTAAGGCGACAATAGATTACCGATATGCAAATCTCGTAAATCGATTAGAAAGATACAAATCAAGGAAAAAAATGAGAAAATCGTATGAAATCCAAAAAGCGTGACCCGGTGCATGGACAGGATAAGTGTACCCTACTATGCATGCATCATTCATCATGCGAATTCACAACCAGTCAAAATGTCACAATGGGGAACAGGACACAATCGGCAAAATCACAGATGAGACGACCATACTGGCAACCAAAGATCTATGATAGCGGAAAAATAGTGAGTTAAGACACCGACAGATCGTTTAGTAATGCTGAGCGTAAAACTTATGTAACGTCGATTTCAGTCGTTCATCCTTATAACTTTGTCGGAGCAGTTTGTGTGTTAGGAGAACACCCCTGTTAATGAAGTTCGTACAGTGTGAACATACACGAGTGTACTTCATTAACTGAGATATGTAAACGCCATACGATTGAGCAGATGGTATGTTACTGTGGAAAAATGGGAAGGTGACAATTGAAAAGTTAAAATCATTTCTAGCTTGAAGTCGTCAATCTGCATGAATATCGAGGAAATATCAAGATATGTAGCAGGCCATCTACTGTTTGTAGTATCCTTAATCTCAAGTTCATTAGGATATATGAGATGTAAGCACTCATTGAAATGTGGGGCGGGTTATTGAGTGACAGAACATCATCAATATATCTGAAAGTAAAATTTGAGATCTTTGCAAGATACTTTTTCTTTTTGTCTTTGAGAAGTTTGTTTTATAAATTCTGCTTCATTTGAGTACAAAAAAAGTTAATGAATAGTAGATCACAATAAGTAACCATGGTCCTGAAATATTAATCCACCAAACTCAACAAATATGTTGTCGACCAAAAAGTCCAGCATTAGTCGATGCATTGGTTGTTGGAATCAGTGTTGTTCTTCACAAAGTAAGATTTTTTATTACCTAAAACGAGGATTTCTACAGAAAAATTGTAAAGATTGGGATTGAAGATTTTGGAGTAGATCTTTAGAATGTTTTTGAATACACATTTGATTGACACCGCTGGTTGAATCATCTCAGTAAAATATATCTGAAGGCCATATTTTACTGTAGAAAGAATGGTGAAAAGAACTTTAGAAATATTTTAAGTTTTGCATCTTGACGACCCTGCTATATATCATTCTTTATGAGGATTTTTGTGAAGTTTAGGTTTCGAGTATAAAGATGGGAGATTTCATCGTTAATTTTTATTGTTTATTCTAAAGGAGAAAAGGACTGATATGTAATATTATTTTTAGATTTATATCTCGAATTTGACATGAGCGGTCATCTCAGTACCAGAATCGAACGAGACGATTTGTACTTTGAAATTATAAATTTCCCCCACTTATCAGCAATATACCAACTTCACCTGCATGTGGGATACACATTTTCCAACTCATTCGGTATTCAAGAGCTTGCAGCTGCTACTAATACTTTATAAAACGTCACCAGTGTCTGAGCAGAAAGTTGATGAACCAAGGTTTGTCAAAGAACATCTCGTCCTTATTCTAAAAAAGTCCACCGGAAGATACCAAAACCTTGTTGATAAATATTCCGTTTCAACTTCACAAATAATACATGATGGTCTTGAAGTATAGATTCTATGTATTGACGTTGTTTATCATCTTAATTACGTGTTATAGTGTTCTTTTTATTTGTCTTTGAATATTTTTAACCTTTACTGTTTAGTCCATTTTTGGTAATATACTTTTGACGTGGCTCGGTATTTATACATCCCGCCATTGTGTTATTGTGCTATGGTCATATTTGTCTATAGTGTGTCTATATGCCATTTTGTTTTTCTTTGTTGAAATAGTTATTTGTTTTTCTTGTGATTTCGATTATAACACAATGTTGAAGGCTGCACCCTAATTTTTGACATTTTTACCTATTATGTCTGTTTCTTTTGTTCACACATTGTTATCAATATAATGGAATTCCATGCGACTGTCATACAAGTGAGAGGTTTAGCTAGCTATAAATCCAGGTTTGATCCACTATTTTTTACATAAGGAAATGCCTGTACTAAGTCTGGAATATGACAGATGTTTTCCATTCGTTTGATGTATTTGAACTTAAGATTATGCCAATTGATAAAAGACTTTCCGTTTTGAATTTTCCTTGGAGTTCGGTATTTTTATTAATTTACTTTTTTCTTCGTAAGTGATGATGGGGTATATGTTCGATTCCAAGGTTTGCTGTGAATTCCAAGTTATTCAGTGAGACATTCCACATAACTGTTTGAAGCTTTGTCTGCTTTATAAATAACATGTTTCTCGTGAAGAGAGGATAAATCATCGACAATATCGGGATGCTGGAAAGGATCCGAAACCCATAAGCTCATTGTACATTGGTTAATCTGGCGTGCATCCATGAGTAACCTGAAGTTCTTAATCCAATTAATGGGCTAGGGAATTCGATAGTGTGGGCTTTTGGCTAGCAACTATTTAATTTGTACATTGTTTACGATGCCAAGGTCTCCAGTTATAACATGACCAGCGTGATTATATTTGTATGAAAACAATACACAAGAGCAATCGAGAGCTTTTAATTTTACATCTCTGAGAGTGAGGGTGTTTAATTTCTCTTGTGGTTGACAATTTTGAAGCAATAGGTTTAGTGTAAGTAAATGAAATGACAGGTGTGGTTTTATCTTTAATGTAATCAGGTTTTCTGCACAGATTGTTGCTGGGAAATAATGCTTATACTGAGAGCATCAAAATCCTTATTAGCAAACTCTACATGAAAAAAATACGTCATCTTTAGGAGTAGTTGTAACTGGTTTGAAAAGCCAATGGTTAGCAATGTCCATAATGATTGGAACCAATCTGTTCTTAACAGAATGTGTATCAATAATAAAAGTTTTACGTACCTCTTGAAATAGCGAATTGATCTTTGATAAAGGCATGGAAAAGAGTTGACTTAGAATATAGTGAATTCTCAAATAGTTATCAAAGATACCAGGATTATAATTTAATACGCCAGACGCGCGTTTCGTCTACATAAGACTCATCAGTGACACTCAGATCAAAATAGTTATAAAGCCAACAAGTACAAAGTTGAAGAGCATTGAGGACCCAAAATTTCTAAAAGTTGTGCCAAATACGGCTAAGGTAATCTATTCCTGGGATTAGAAAATCCTTAGGTATATGAACAGAGGATAACAAACGCTATAGACACAGGGTAAACTGCAGGTGGTGTATATGTTCGATGACCGTGACTCCTATTGTGTCGAACAGAGGTGTTGAACAATTATAATTTGTTGATATCACTACATCTTGGACTAATAAATACATACACAATCAATTTTGTAATTGCATCCGTAAGGAATAGCTGTTCCCAACCCTCGAATCCAAAAAACTTCTATTTGTAAGCGATATGGTGCTCTCATTGTGGGATCATTTATTGAATGATAGATTTTCGCTATACCTTGCTTTTTTCTATAAACCAAAGACGTTTTGATATCATTGTACACATGCTCAACGGACGTAATCGAATATTGCACTCTAACATTAGCCACTGAACGTCTACATTGATTTCATATAGCAACTTCAAAAATAGTTCAATTAAAACAAAATTTGTGCAAAAATTCAAGTATAAGAGAAGAATACACAAAAGAGTTTATATTTAAAATCGTTAATAAGTGAACCAATAGTTATTACATAAGAAATAGACTAATAAAATGGTGACGTAAAGATTTACAACTAACCTGCGAATATAAATCTTAAATTGAAGGACTCAAAGAAAAACTTTTTATCTTGGTTGCTGTGTTAGCAACAAAACCAAATACCAAATAGAACATCACTGATTAATAGGTTTAGTAAAATGAAATATGATTAACACTGAGCATGACTTAAAAAGATGTTAGAATCGGGACTAGCTTTTCGAAAGACTTACCGAGGAGTCGACGAGTAGCGGTAAAGGCAGTAATAGTAAAGGCACCACAATAACAATCAGAGTCCGTTTAACTTCCCACAAATCCCTTAAAACACGTGTGCATCCCATTATTGTAATGTTGACAAATGATGTTCGTTACAAAATAATGTTCACCTATTTCAGGTGATAACAATAATAGTATAAAACTTGTTAATGTACATATTGTAGTTGATAAATTTTATTGACACTCGAATACGATTCATTTCTATCTATAAAGTAATATATTTAGAATGATTCACAAGTAGACAAAGTGTATTATTAAAATTGTCAGAAATATGGTTTGACTCAGTATTTTGTTTGACAGAATTCAAAGTTGTTATTACTTTTTATAATTTGGAGTTCAGTTCTGTTGTCTATTAGCCTGAGTTTTTAATTTTAAACACGGGTCATTGGTCAATAAAAACTAATGAGTAAATAACCTAACAACATTCTACATCTTTTTAAGGGAGTCCTATTTGAAAGCTACTGAAGAAAAGCGATGCAAACGCACGTAATTTGCATAGTATTATTTTCATTAAGTCTGGAACATCGTCAGTTTTATTATGACAAGATGATTAATAAAGAATCATATTGTCTTTTTATCTTTCTGTTTTAGTAATATTTTTATGGACAGAAATAGTAATGAGAATACTTGATATATTTTTTTTAAATCCGATCATCATATATCTAAAGAGGGAAAACGAAGATTCGTTAATTAAGGTGGTACCCAACACCTTCACTAAAATTAATTTGGCTCGTTTAATTTTCATAAAATTTTGACAAAGTATTTACTTTGACCATTTGACAAAAATATAAAAATTTCAAAAAATTTGAACCAACCAATTTATCAGAAAAATTAGACTGGTTATATAGCAGTTTGACAAACACTAACTTTGATCATTGAGAAGCTTAATATTCCCTTAACAACACAACGTAATTAAAACGTTTAGCTGATTTTACTCCCTTTTACTTGAGTTATCTCCCTGTAGTGTTAGGTACCACCTTAATCTGGTGAAACGTTACTTATTTGCAGAAGATTATGGAGTCAAAATGCTGTGGTATAATTAATTGTTCAAAAGACAAATATCCATCAGAAACCAAAGGACGTAGATGTAAGAAACTGCTGATGTAGATTTAAATAATGTAAAAAGGGAAAATGGTTTATCTTAATATATTGTTACTTTCACATCCCCAGTTATGAATCTGGAGTTCGGAGCTCATCTTAGAGAGGAATTTGTACCTAATTTTCTGTTGTAAGGACTTGTACTTTAATAGGTAATAAATGTTAGCAGGAAAATTATAAAATACTAAGATACAGGAACAAATGGAAATCATCATTTGTTTCCAATTAATTATTCAGATGTTTTTCAGTTTAAAAAGTTATCATTCGTCATATGTGTTGTCTCTCTGTTTGTTATGTAAATTATATGGATAGTGTAGGCACTCTACGACTCGTTCATTTAGCGAAAAAATATCTTGTATCGTCTTTTAGCGACGGAAAGGTTCGAAAACCGATGCCGGTTACTAAAATATATTCAATACTTCATCCAAAGAACGTTAAGGTCTTATCCTTATTTTAACAGTTCCCACAATTCCATGAGTTTGTAACAGTCAGTTTTATCAATGGTTTTTAACCATTCATATGAAAGAAGGTCTGGAAAGGATGGGGGTCTTTCATTTCTTTATTCCTTGAATTGTTAGGTGATTTTTCTCTATTCTTTATATGTTTTGCCCATTATTCTCTATTCTTTATATTTTAGCACCCCATTATTCTCTATTCTGTATTATTTTGCCCTATTTTTCTCTATTCTTTATTTTTATGGCGCTATATTCTGCACTTTTTGTCCATTATTCTCTATTCTGTAAACCCCATCCAGACCCTCATGAAACAGAATTAAAATAATTGATGTTACTTAGAATGTTAGACTTTATTCATAAGAGTTATCTCCCTAAACCGATGTGTATTTCCTTACATAAATTCTGAAAATTTATTCCTTCATATCAGTTTCTTCTGAAAACCAGACTAGTTTTATTTACCTATGAAATAAATGTGTTTCTGAGATGGACAACTTTTTTCTACTTTCATGCTTATAAGATTATTCATGTTGGATGTAATACAACTGGGACACTTTAAATATTTCAAGAACAGAAAATTCTGAAAAGCAACAAATAATAGAGGAGAATATCGACTAGGCAGGGTTCGGAAAAAAATGTTGATTAGGAATTTTGAATCAGCGACGGCCCTTGTTAGTTTCTGCAGTGTGCAATTCTTAATACACCCATGCTTATAAAATAAAATTACCAATATAGTATTCTCTTTTCTCTCTACAAAACCATATCAAAGGTCTTTCATACTTTCAAAACTTTCTTTTTAGGTCTGAATATTCCTAATATTAAGACGTTGCCTCAACTCAAAAATGGGAAGAGGGTTGATATTAAGAACAACCAATTTAAACCTGCACCGTTTTAAAATACATGTTCAAAGTATTGGAATTTAATGTTTTGTTTCTTAGAGAATTTAGTGTCGATGTAAAAAAAAAAACAGTCTATTTAAAATTTATTCACAACTTTTCTTGACGCGGAGAATATGAGGTCGACATATTAGATGCCCATTTGCACATGGCTGATGGTCATAAGATGACTCTTTTGACTTCTATTTGTCGTTGGGTCCCTATCGCGTTGACACAAACCCAATATATCACATTATTTATAATTTAATTGACTAGGATTGTCAGTTTTCGAACGTAACGTATGAAATTGGATATGTAAATGTCATACGATGGGACAGAGAGTATTTTACAGCAGAGAACTGGGAAGTTGACAATTGGAAAGTTTAAATCATCGGGGGTGTTATTAATTCTAGTTTGAAGTAGTTCATCTGTGTCAATATCGAGGATAAGATCAAGATATGAAGCAGACCGTCTAATATTGCCGGTGTTTTCTTTACTTATCTCAATTCACAGGAATATATAGATGCAGGCACTCACTAAAAGTGTGTTATTGAGAAACAGGAAAAGATCAGTATATCTGAAAGTGAAATTAAAGACCTTTGCAATATGTTTTTCCTTTTTGTCTTTGAGACGGTTTTGTTTGAATTCTGTTTCATATGGGTACAAAAACAAGTCGGACATTAGAAGTGTACAATCAGTATCCATTGGCACACCGACTTTCTGTCGAAATACCAATCCACCAAACTCAACAAAATGTGTCGATCAAAAAGTCCAGCATTTTGATGATATCATTCTCGGTGTATTTTTATCTAGGAATCAGTGCGATGTTTAACAAAGTAAGATTTTTCATGACTTTAAAGGTTTTTAAAAACATGGAATTTTTATAACAATATCAAGTAAAATGTTGTGCATACCATATATATATAATAGCCATATCTATGGCTATTATATCTATGTGCATACAAAGCTTGGTACTTCAAAACATTCCATACCATTATCTTAGCATTTAGTAGATATAAGAAGATTTGGTATGAGTGCCAATGAGACAACTCTCCATCCAAGTCACAATTTGTAAAAGTAAACCATTATAGGTCAAAGTACGGCCTTCAACACGGAGCCTTGGTTCATACCGAACAGCAAGCTATAAAGGGCCCCAAAAATGACTAGTGTAAATCAAAAAAATCAAACTCTAGGCGAGTTTCACAATTTGAGAATTTATAGTTATAAAGAACGAAAAATTAATCTCATACAGTATTGGTCTTTTTGGTTAACACATGAACTTTTAATCTGAAGGAATAGCAACATTGACGTCTCTGTTAATCTTAAATCTCCTACATACACTTCCCTCGTACACAAAATCGTAATCCCCTCTCTACAGCTAGCTATTTCTCTCTTTTATACCAATCTATTTGCCTTAGTAGCCCGATTACAAATATGGTTAAATGACTCCTAACAAAGAAATAATCAACCGGAGCTAGGGCAACCGGAGCCCGGAGCAGAGGTCAACCGGAGCCAGGAGCTGAGGTCAACCGGAGCACCTGTATAACCAGAGCAACGTACGGGGCACCAGATTAACACGATCAATTTGACATTTAACAAATAAACTCTTAAAAATCTTGAAGGCGATAAAAATAGATTGTAATGTAAGTAATCTTATACAATAATAATAAAACCCACTGACGTAACATATAAAAACGTTACAATACTATGGCAAGCCGTTTTACCATTTATTTTAACTTCAAGATATATAATAAACTTTATAAGATATCTCATATAGTTTATAAGATATCTCATATAATTTATAAGATATTTCATAAAATTTTCTTTACATGATATCTTATAAATTGTATGAGTTATCTTATAAACTATACGAGATATCTTATAAACTATATAAGATATCTTATAAACTATATAAGATATCTTATAAACTATATAAGATATCATATGAAATATATAAGATATATTATAAAATATATTATATGAGATATCTTGAAGTTGAATAAATAGTAAAACGGCTTGCCAGACAATACAGTTGGAAGGATATATCAAATACAAAGCTAGGTTAAGGACCTTGAATCAAATACACATAATTGGAGAGTGCAACGCTCTACCCGCGTTATAGAAACCCAGCCCGTTACTATTTGGAGATCTGTGCATAGGCGACCTTATGAAAGGCTGAATATCTGATCCAATGCATGAATACGTTCTTGTTTAGTGGCAGTCAAAATAACCCATTCCCACCAGTCTTTACACCAACTTTCCAGATACCACAAATGAATAAATAATTTAATCAAACAACAAGCAAGCAATATTTACTTGATCATGTTCCTTCTCGTTTTGGAGATATAGTTAGTACTTAGTCAAGAATTTAGCAACCGCATAGGGACTAACTCTGTCACTCATGATCGTATTGCAGATTTGTTTTGAGCTGTAGTTATTGACTAAAATTTATAAGCACCCAAAAAGATGGGAACTGATAGATTCCTGCAAATATTTATAATTCCTTTTTACGCAAACCTTTCCAAGTTAAAATTTCCTGTGCATAGTCTTTCTTTTCCCTTTACTTTAATTCCCATAACTTGCATTGAAGGCCTTAAAAAATATATATACATATATTTGAAAAAACCATAATTAAGTATATAC